CAGCCAAGTGTGAAATGGGGAGGGAGAGAGAGAGGGGATGACATGCAGCAAAGGGCCACAGGCTGGACTCGAACCCGGGCTGCTGCGGCAACAGCCTTGTACATGGGGCGCCTGCTCTATCCACTAAGCCACTGATTGGTGGATCTCTCCACCTGATCTCAAGGAGTTATGTACCCTGCCTAGTCTGCCTACTGGCCCCCAACTGACATTATTCTTCCTCATCCAGATCCACTGACTAGATCTAGCTGCTTCATCTGACATATCCTTCACTGTCTTCCTCAAACTCTGTCCCCGCACTCCGAGTTCCCCCAGGAGCGAGACAGCTGATCTTGCTGTGAATCCCCTACACCCCACTTCCACTGGACAAATCCTAGTTTTCCACCCTTGCTGCTCCTAAGCTTTCTTCTTTCATAGGCTTCTTCCACTGAGTCTTCCCAAGGAACTGTCAGCTCAATGAAGTAAACTATCCGTTGACTCACTGACCACAACACTATGGCAGGCCTCTGCTTGGTACAAACTATTTCGTGGGGAACAACAAGCTTTCCCCCTAAATCTACTTGCATTTCCCAATCACAAGCACCCTCTAGGCGGCCACACCCTTGCCTCCTTACTAACTTATCACTTCTGTATTTCTCCCCCTAATGGACAACCTGAATTGCTGAGCTCCTATTCTTAAAACCTTCTGAATTTGCCTGTCTTCATTTCCCTGCGATGCCTGCAGCTAAACTTCTCGACACCTGGTTATGTCGCCATGTATACCGACCTTGTGACAAGCTAACTTTACAGCCTGACAAAATATGCTTTAAGGTTGTGGTACCTGAACATAATGGGCATGATGGGTCCCCATTTACCCACAGTTTTAGGTTCTGGGGGGTTGGTAACACATCATATGTAGCCCCTACCAGGAATCTAATACGATTCTCCTCCATATTCTACAGGTCCCTCTAACTAAGCTTCCTCTTCTCTACACTTTCCCATTTCAACCACTGTTCCTGTTTAGCCTGGGCCACTACCTTTGCACCCCTTAATATCTCCTCCTGTCTACCTGTCTATTCCACAACCAGCTTTCTTTTATCTTTGGGACCTGCTTTAGTCCATACCAGTTTGCCTGAGCCAGGCCCCAGGCCTCCCCGGCCAAACTGAACATTACCTACAATCTCTGCATGCCTAAGAGCTGCCTCTGCCTCTTGAACTGCTGATCCTGGGTTCCATTTCCTCCCCTTGGTTTGATTTGGAACCACACTCCTAACTACCATGTCCTTACTCCCAGATAACAACAGCTCTGTCCTGACCTTGGTACATTTAAATTCCTCTGTTAAACTAGATACTGGCAGTTGAAGTATCCCTTTTCCATACAATGCAACACTACTTAGACACCTAGGAGCACCCAACCACTTCCTAATATAGGAGCTAACCAACCTTTCAATTCGGATATTGGAATTTCATAAATTGACAGTGGCCACATTAACCTAGGATATACCCCAAACTGCAAACACTACAACTTAAACTTTCCTGGAAATTCTGATTTATCTGTTCTATCCAACCCTTCAGCCACATCTTTTCTAAATTTCACCACCTGTTCCTCATCACTCAACTCCACATTGTACCACCTACTTAAGCTCTTTACTGGTGGCAGTAGCTCAGTCCATAGGAACTTGGGTTGGGAACCGGAGGGTCACCTGTTCAAATCCCTGTCCGGACCAAATATGGAGCGTGGACTGGTGGCTGGAGAGGTGCCAGTTCACCTCCTGGGCACTGCCGAGGTGCACTGAACCCCCCAACCTCACTCTGACATCTCTCCACTTTGTGCATGTATAGGTCCTGTTTGTGCATGTGTGTATTTCGGACCTGTGTGTTAATGACAACGGAGTGAAAAAAATGAATTTCCCCTCAGGGGGATTAATAAAGTATATAAAATTTAAAAATAAATAAATAAATAATTAAAACTGACTTTTCCCTAATTGTTGGGATTTCCTCATCATCTATGACAAACCTCCTATCACTTAACTTCTATCTACGTATTGAGATGCTTCTAGACTTACTAGGCTCGATCTTCTTGCTGGCCCACTTGAGGTTCTTATTTACCCTCTCTAGTAGCCTCTTTGTACTTGGCATTGTTGTGGTCACCAGAGATTAAATATCAAAATAAAAAGGGGGTCAAGACCGTTTTTTAAATGTTCTATTTCTGACCTGCGCACTAAATGAAATATTTGAAAAAGAAGTCGAAATCTGTTTTTTGGTGGACATTGAAAAACAAATAATGAAATAACAAATCGTTTTTCCATTTTATTGTTTTTTCATTCTTAATTGAAATTCAAATGAACGAATGGTACACGGACCCAATATACATACCTGATTCCAAAAAAGTTGGGACATTGTCTAAAATGTAATTAAAAACATAAAGTAATGATTTGAAAATTTTTTTTGACCTATATTGAATACAGTAAAAAGACAAGATATTTGCTGTGCAAACTCATAAAACCTTTTTTTTTTTTTCATTCTAAATCTGAAGCCTGCAACACGTTCTAAAAAATTGGGAGCATGTTTACCACTGAGTGACATTTTTTTTCTTTTCGTTTAACACCACTCAGTAAGCGTTTGAGAACTGAAGACACTAATTATTGAATTTTCAGATAACAAATCAATCAATCAAAAATGTTGCTTGGGTTCAGTTCGGCCCACTTGACATGTTGCTGTGTGTGCTATGGCCTATTCAAGTGCGGGAATGTGTTATTTACATGACAACGCCTGAACGCAACACAGGCTCCGCTCCTTTGAGTATGTGTCAAGTGCCATGCTGCGGGTGTGGGCCGGGCTCATTTATAATTGTCTCGGACTCGGGTCAGGTTTGGTCAGGAAAATATGGCCCGTGTGTGTGTGTGTGTGCGTGCGTGCGTGTGTGCGCGCGCACGTGTCTGTGTGTGTGCACATTGGGGCAGAATGATACAGAGAATAGAGGAGAATTGTGAACACGCGACCATGTAGAGACAGAAATGACATGCCATTGTGTAAATAAGATAAATAACATAAGGCTATTTAGTTTGTTTAATAAAAGGACACGATATAGTACTGGGGCCATATTCACAAGGCTTCCCAGGGCTAAGAGTTGCTCCTAGTGACGAAATTCTTAGAAAATTCTTAGAATTGTGACGTTTTCCCTTTAAAGCTAGGTCCTTGTAAAGATGAAAGTTATTCACAAAGCATTTTAGATCTCAATAGAGCTCCTAAGATGAAAAACTGTTAGGAGCAGGGAGGAGGACTTTTAAGAGGCTTAAGAGTTTCCTAAGCAGAGGAGAAAATGGTGGAAACCAGGGGCAATTCTAGGACCAGAGGTTTAGGGGTGCTGAGCACCCAAAGAGCTGCCCGGCCAGGCAAGATAAATTTCACTGTTTTGTACATTTTAACTCAGTTTCATTCCCACATTTGTGAAAGAAAAGCACAACACTTTTTGGGAAAGTCTGTGACTAAACCATCAAATCTGATGAAGGTTATTTAAATGCTGAGCCACAGCAAAAGAGTAATGGATTGGAATCATAAAAGAAACATATCGTAACCTTAATTTCTGGGGGAGGATAACTCATTTTGATACAGCAGCTCCTCATCATACACATAAACAGTATGTATGTTTCTGGAGTAAACCAGCCCCCTATAGTGAGTACCAAAAACACCAAAAATGGACCTTGGACTTATTTTTTGGACTTTTATTTGAAATGCAATGCACAACATGTAACATTAACACATTAACAGTAATTGAATTTTTCAATGTTTGTCTCTGCCTTTTCCTTCTTGTCTGTATTATGTATACAAATACATAAATAAAAATACACTTCAAAAAAGAGAAGTGCTTGAAATCTACAAAATAATAATAATAATAAATACACACAATAGGAGTTATAATGTTAATGGTCATCCAGTCAGTAAGCTAGTCAGTAGCACCTTGGCTTTAATATTAACACGTGCACATGACACAACAGCTAGCTTCTCTCATTGCAATTCAAACAGAGGACAGTGGTACTGACCACCTGTAACGTTTCGTAGCTAGAAAAAACGTCAGCTAACTCCTACCTAACAACATAAACAGTGACTTACGATCAAATGCAGTAAAAATGAGGACTGGTAATGATAATAATATGTTGGTATTGAGTGGTAGAAGTTAAGAAATGTGCCACATATCCTGGTTTAAGCCAGGTACTTACACCACTACTGCATATCACCCACTCTGGAAGGCAGTGCATTGCTCTGTGCAAATAGAGCGCTCAGAGCGCGAGTCGGGGAAAGGTGGGAGGGATGGGGTGGATCAAACCATTTTTGAGGCAAGAGGGGGGTGCTGCTGTATTTTTGTTGTTAAAATATTACGTTGCAACCAAGTACTGTATGGTTTTGACACTTTTCTAGCTTGTTAAAAAGGGACATACAGTAAAAAAATAAAAAAAAAAATTCTCAAATTTTAGGGGTGCTGGGATTCAATTTAGGGGTGCTTCAGCACCCCCAAAAATGGGCTAGAAATGCCTATGGTGGAAACTCAAAGGGGTCAGAGAAATGGTCTCTAAACACAAAATGACAGTGAGTGAATGAAATGCTACAGATGAGATTGTGTAGGGAGAATGTTTGTGGTCGATCTCATTTGGGATATGCACACATTTCCCACATATAAAATATCGCTATAACGCCAGAAATTAAATTATCGCCCCCCTAATATAATGTTAGGGGAAACATTGTGTTAATGTACTTCATATTGAGCTTGCCTGGAACCCATACCATGAGCCAATAAATGTCTACAATATGCTCATAGCTTGAATGTCCATGTTGCTGATTTTGAGCAGACCAAGAATGATTGATGAAAGGTGGAGAATACCACATGCTTATTTGTCAGATAAGCTTTAACATCTAAAGTACTGTTACGGTTTCTCTTCTGAGTTCATTGCAGTTGATTAACAGGCTTTAGGGCAGTTTGAAACTCCACTACGGCTCATGTTGTGTTATATCGTTGTACACTCCAGGCATTGCTTGGCTGTGCTGTGATGCCAGACGACAGGTTCGTATGCAGGCCCTCACATATCTCCAGAGGGCACTGCTGGTTCATGATCTGCAGACACTTGATGCAATTGAGTGGGAGTCCTGCTTCAATAAGGTAAGAAAGGAGAGGACGGGTTACATGTCTGCACTTACCATCAAATCCTCGATCTGCTCTTATGCTATACAGAGCAGGGTCCCCTGTCCCTACACTGTTCATTTGTACTTCCTGATATAGTGTGTGTCTGTGTCTGTGTCTGTGTGTGGTTACAGGTGCTTTTCCCCTTGCTAACTAAGCTGCTCGACAACATTAGCCCAGCAGATGTGGGCGGTATGGAGGAGACCAGAATGAGAGCCTGCACACTTCTGTCAAAGGTTCAAAGCAACACCTACACACTAACAAATGCTTTCTTATGAGCAGATGACTTGGATGTCTGTCACAGATTTGACCATATGATCAAAGTGTTTACATTTGCACTTCTAAATACCCCTTCTCGTAGTTTTATGATGGAAAGTTTTTGTGTTTCGTTTTAGGAAACTAATGCAGTAAAGATTGCAAAGGAAAAAGTGGCCTTTATCAGCAACCTATGCTGACAGCATCACGGCACTAAATCCAACTTTTATTGCATTAGTAATAAGCAAACTGACAATGTGATTAACATAATATTATGTTTGTTTATGAACGGACTAATAAAGCCACTAGAGTCTGAAAGGTCATGTATAATTTACTGCAGGGCTGATGATGGCAGCATAAAGGAGATCAAATTTAGTAGAGGTGGGAGGGGCAGAGCAGCACACCTTCTGATGGTTTACTACAAAGTTTGTGTGTTTTTGGGGTGATAAGATGGCACACACCAGAGTTAGTCCGTCAAAAAAACTAAAACTGTACCAATATGACAACGTTTTAGATGTGTAGCTGAATAAAGAGTTGTCCTGACTGGCTTTGAGCGACATGGTAAGACCATCCTGAAGATATGAGCTCAACATTCTGTTTCTCTCTCTGTATCAGTCTGGACTCTGTGCTGCCCCAAACACTGTAAGTGGGCGGGAGTACCCTCCTTGACATCCGCATAAGAAAACAGTGGGGAACATCTTCTTCATCGCCAACTGAGCCAAGCCAAGTCAAGCTTTTGCCAAATCCAGTCAGAAGAACGGAGAAAACATCTTTTCCTCTTGAGAATCTCTATGAGTGCATACTCTTGTTCTTGTTTAATTGTTGTTATTGACTATATTTTTGCAATTATTTCAGTAATTGCTGTGTACCACTCTGCTAACATTAGAGTCAGCACTTGTTGCTTTGGGAGCTGCCATTACTGTTTTGCAAGCTGTGGTCTGCATTTTCATTCATCAGCTACAATGCAGTCCCTGATTGGCTGCTTATGTTGTCAACTACAGTGTGGATCACTGATTGGCCTCGATTGAATTTTAATTTCTGGAAAGTGTTTGGGACGGCACCAAGTCCAGACTGATACAGAGAGAGAAACAAAATGTTAGGTTTGAGTCATCAGGATGGTCTTACCAGGCTAACGCAGTGAGCCATTTTGAGCTGAACTTTTGTCGGACTCCTTGTTTCTATTTATTCCTGTCGCTTGCTTTTGAAGCGCTACAGCGGATACTGAAGTTGCAGTGAGAAATTATCTGTACAATACCTCCTTATTTCATTATTAAAACCTAAAAAAGGTGGCAGCTGGCTGGATCACAAGGAAGCTGAAGCTACGAAGTTACTGTTTTTTTGATAAATAACAAATATAGCAGCTTCAGATCGACCCATAACAATTCCGGTATAAAATAACAACTTATGGTTAGGCCACACCTACTACTGTTTAACTCACGCCCTTTTTTAAATAAACCCTGCCCATTCAAAGTATGGATAGGGATACAGATGAATGGTGCACTTGCTCATCCCTACTAAATACTATATTTCATTTGATAAACTGGACATGTTTCAAGTCCTACCTTGCACTGCATACTCTCTTCATACTGTAATGTGCCCCATTGAGTCCATTAAAGTACGCTATCAAGTCCATCAAACCTTATAGTTTATCTTAGAAATTAAAAATTAAAACAAAACCTTATCACAAAACTTTTAACATGGACCAAAAATGTTCATTTTTCTTAACATGTCTTGCTTTTTTGAGTGAAGATGTTGGCTATTTAGCCACCCCACAACCAACTGTGTATCTGGGTTAACTGAGCTCATTCTTCTGGCAGCAGCTGTGACCAATTTAGCTGTTGTTTTTCACTTGTCCAGGTTTTCCTCCAGCACCTCTCTCCTCTGCTGTCCCTGCCTACCTTTGCTGCCCTCTGGCTCACCATTCTGGATTTCATGGACAAGTACATGCATGCAGGATCCAGTGACTTACTGGTGAGGATGGTGACAGGAGAAATAATGTTGATACTAAAATGCAGTATTGTAATGTCATTACAGCTGAGCTGATGCCTTTATCCACATGTGGATAACAGTCACTCATTCTGCTCCACTTCTAGTATGATAGAATTTAAAAGCTATGTGGTGTCTGTCTCCAGGGTTGGAATCAGGGCTGATCCCAGAATGATTAGACAGATTGGTGTAAATGGTAAATGGCTGCATTTGTATAGCTTCAGGTATGGCAGAAAAAAAGTGTACAGTATATGTGAATACTGCAGCAGTTTTTCATGGGAATGCCCAAATGCTTCCATGTTACATATGTTTTGTCATTTGGGGGTTACTGACTAAACTTAAAGGCATACTTTGCTGATTTTCAACCAGCTTTGTATCATAGCAGTGTTGATAGTTTGCATAAATAAACTGTGATAAACTTCCCTCCATCTTACCAGCACCTTGATCTCCCTGCTCATCTCCTAGCTCAAAACTGCCAGAGGATGGTGTTTTGCATCATCTGGCAGTTTTGATCAGGCTTTTGGGCTGTCGCTCAAATGAGAGTTGTATGTAACGTATGTAACTACAGTTCTATGAATTCTGGATGACTGCCAGAGGTGGAGCATAAGCACTGAATGTCTTTGTCTCACGCATGTGCAGGTCGAGTAGGTATACCAATAAAGTCACCTGTGACCAGGGCATAAAATTAACTTTTTACTTCATCTGCCATTGGCTAGTGACCTCCAAAAATTTACCGGCCAAACATATTTTTCACCAGCCAAATAAAAAAAATCGTGCCTTGTTTGACTTAAATAATTACCTTACTTTTTTTTTATGAAAATCCAACTTTAGGAAAATCCACCCCTGTCCTCCGTGTTTCTTTGGCGTGCTTGCGGCAAAGGCTGCAGCTCATCATGTTGGTGTGGGAGTCGTAGGTCAGCCATGACCGCGGCTGGCCAGCGTTGTCTAGTTTCCATTTTTCAATAAAATGCAGTGCGACATTTGTACTCCATTTAACTGTCTGTTCTTCCTGTTCAAATCCAACATGTTCATCTTCGTTTTTCCTCTTCTGGTGGTGGCTTCACGGCAGAAATGTGTTGCCACATCTTGCTCAGAAGTTACCATAAAATGCCCGGGGTTCCGGTAGCTGATGTCATGCGTTCCCGGCACACGTACAATAAGCCGCGAGGGTCAAAATGGTCTGACACAGCTGGCAGAAATGGTCGAAGCACATAAAAAAAACCCACATGCAATTCAAAATTTTCCATCGGCCACTGGCGGGTGTGTGTTTTTGTTTTACATGGCAAACTCATTTTTTACCCGCCATTGGCGCTTGGCGGGTGTTAATTTTACGCCCTGCCTGTGACCCCCTGATGACCCCAGACAGGCCACCTCTTCCGGTGTCTTCAGAGGATCTGATCCTGCAGAATTCTGAGTGACTGAACGCTCTGGTGGTCATCCAGGATTCATAGAACCATAGTTACATACGTTACTCTTGTTCTATTTCATCCTTCCTGACTACCAGAGGCGGTGCATAAGCACTAGATGACCTATACCAGTCATGAGGAATCCCAAGTACATACCTCATTGAGTGGAAGCAGAGGAACTTGGTAGGAGGACAACGCCCAGTGGGTGAGGAGTGGCAATATTCATGCGATAAGACCTGGTGAAGGTGCTCGGCGACACCCACGAGGCCACAGCACATATGGCCTCCAGGGGCACCCCTCTCAGGGCCGCCCATGATGTCGAGACACTCCTCACAGACTGTCACCTCACCCCAGATGGCAGGGGGAGACTATCTGCCTTATATGCATAGATGATGGCATCCACGATCCAGTGAAACAAACGCTGTTTGGAGAGAGCACAACCTTCCTTAGGACCATCATGACCCAAAAAGCTGGTCCGACTGGCATATAATCTCGGTACCATCCACGTATGCTCTCAGAGCCCTCACAGGGCATATCCGCCCAGTCCTCTTCCCCCTCTGGCGGTTCAAACCACGCCAGCTGGATCGGCTGTTTGAGGTGCTAGTACAACAAAACCTTAGGCAGGAATGCAGTATTTGGCCATAAGGTGACCCCTGAGCCGTCCGAGTTCCATCTCAGACATGAATTACTGTCTGACAAGGCATGAAGCTGCCCTACACACTTTGCTGAAGTGATGGCGAGGAGGAAGGCAGTCTTTGCCGACAACAATCTCACTTCCGCCTGAGTGGTTCAAAGGGAGGCAGGCATAGAGCATCCAGCACCGAGGGCAGATCCCATGCTGGAGCTCTCAGAGTTTGTGGGGGACGTAGTTTCAGAGCCCCCTTCAAAAAGAGGCACACCAGCCTGTGGCTCCCCATCATGTTGTTATCAACTCGAACATATCAAGATGAAATGGTGGCTACGTACACCTTCAGGGTAGAGGGGGACCAACCGCCATCCAGGAGAGATTGTAAGAACTCCAGAATGGTAGGCACAGAGCAGTGCACAGGGTCCTCATCCCTGTCTGAACACCAAGCAGAGAACAGCTGCCACCTGGTCTCATACTGCGCCTGGGTAGACGGTGCCCTGGTGTTCAGAACAGTATAACGGACTGTTTCTATACACACATTCAGCAGCGGGTCGGGGCCTGCAGAGGCCAAACCCACAGTTGAAGGCGGCAAGGGTCGAGATGCTAAACCCGTCCCTCTAGCTGAGACAGGAGGTCTTTCCTGTCGGGGAGGCACCATGGCGAGCTGCAGCACAGCCTGTGCAGCTGAGGAAACCACATCCTCCCTAGCCAGAAGGGGGCCACTAGAAGCAGCCTGTGGCCATGTTGAAGAACCCTCTGTAGTGTTGCCACAATCAGAGGGACCGGCGGGAAGGCATAGAGGAGACCTTATGGCCACTCATGTGCAAGGGCATGCCTCTGTCCAGGAGAACCAGAGGAGACAATGGGTAGTCTTCTCTGGGGCGAAAAGATCCACTTTTGCCCTGCTGAAGAGGTCCAAGATGCCGCGGACCACTTCCAGGTGAAGCCGCCACTCCCCCGGGGAAGGCCTTCAGCAGATGAGGAAGTCTGCTACCTCGTTCTGCTTCCCTGGGAGATACATTGCCCTCAGGCTGGCTAGGTGGGGGGCTGCCCAAGTTAGAAGGTCCCAGGTCACCTGCTGCAGCTGCGCGGACCTGGTGCCCTCTTGGTGATTTATGTGGGAGACGGTCATGATGTTGTCCGACCGAACAAGCACATGCCTCCCCCTCAGGTATGGGAGAAAGTGCTTGACCGCGAGGTGCACAGCCCGTATCTCTAGCATGTTGATAGGGTCCATGCAGACTCGAGCAGACCACTGCCCTCGAGCTGTTCTGTTCTGCCACACTGCACCCCACCCTGAGAGGGAGGCATCTGTTTTGACGGTCTTCCCGACAGGACAGAACAGAGCCCATGGGCATGCCCTGCAGTATGAATGCCCTCTCCCTCCATGGGGACAGGGCGAGGAGGCCCTACCGAGACACCCTGATCTTCCTGTGCCCGTGCCACTTGGCGTCTAAGTGAAGCCATCTTTGAAGGGGGCGTAGTGACAGCAAGCCTAAGGGAACAACAGTTGCGGCAGCCGTCAACTTGCTCAGGAGGTGCGGAAACTTCACGTGGGGCAACCACTTGCCTCCTCGGAAAAGGGGGAGGAGGCAGAGGATGTTGTCCACCCGCCGAGACGACGGACAAATTTTCATGGTGACAGTGTCCAGAGCCACACCTAGGAAGGTGGTGCTCTGGGAGGGGACTACGCAGCTCTTCTTGAGGTTCACCATGAGATCCAGCCGGGCCACTTGGGCTAAAAGCCCAGCTGTATCCTGAGCAACCTGAGACTTGGACGGCGCACACACCAGCCATTCGTCCAGATATGGGAGGATTTTCTTGCCCCTCGACTGCAAGAAAATCCTCCTGTGTAAACCCGAGAGCTTCTGCCTGGTCTGTCTGGCTTGGACCGTCTGCTCTAGTGCCTCTAGAGCAGCCGACTCAAACAACTCCCCCGGTTCCACTGGAACACTGCGAAGGGTCCTTCTACACGCCTCTGTGAGGGGCAACTGAGCTAGCCAAACTTGGCGGCGAGCCTGAACCAGTGTGGATATCACCTGCCCCAGCTTCCTGGACATAAGGGTGAAATCCTGCAGGGATGCATCAATAAAGTTATGAGCAGAAGAATCTAGCATAGCCTCCTGTAGGGAGGCTGAGAGGGTGAGCATAAGGTGTGACATGGAGTTCCCTATCCGGCCCATGCAAGCCGTTGGGTCTTAGGCCTTGGACAGCAGATCATCTTTGATGCGACACTGGGGTGAAGGACACCTGGCATTCAACCTAAGGGCCTCATCAGGAGAGACAATAAGTGCGGCCACTGTCGGCTCAATAGCTGGCATGCGGCCAAGGCCAAACTCGTCCACTTCTTGCATGGCTGCCAGGGTTCGGCCATCAGACGTTGAACAAGAGAGGGCTCTAGAATCTCTCCAACATGCATGCAGTCCCTCTGAAGGAGGCACAGTAAAGGTGGCAGGGGTCGGACTATGCCTGAAAAAAGCACTTGCTGGAGCCAGCCGGGCTTGTGGCACATCAAGCTACAGACAAGCCAGAGCCATACAAATGATGGCCCCCATGGAACTACCCTCTGAGCCCTCACCTGAGCTGTGGGCGGAGGAATGGGAGCCCACCTCCGAGGCATGGGAGACTGTGTCACGAGGGACCGTGTCTGCCCCATAATCCCCGTATTCAGTGGCTGAGGCTGCCGTCGAGAGGATGTCATCATCTGGACCTGACATGGTCACAGAAGAAATAGGCACAACCGCACTCCCCACACCATTCTCAGTCTGGAGGGCTAGAAAGATGGATTTCATCTGATTAAGCTCTGCCGTCAGCTGGTCCACCCTGGATGCCAGCTTAGACTCCCTGGTCCGGAGCGTGAAGCTGCAGTTCATGCATGGGTTCTCTGACCGTGGGTTCCATGACTGTCCTCAGTCTGCAGAGGAGCCATGCAGGTGGTACAATAATGAGTGTTCATCATAAAAATACAATGAAAACAACACTCAATGTACAACATCTTCTGGGAGTGGGAGCGAAATCACTGCCTTCACCAACAAAGGTTGCAACAAGAAACCAGAACAACCAAAGTTGTTTAGTGGTGTAAGTAAATAAGCTCAAGTTAGCTGCTGCTAACTGTAGAAAAGAAAAATCAATTCCAAATACATAATGCTGTAACTATATAAAACAGCCTAGGTACGACCGAGTCGTTATCAAAATAAGTCAAGTTGCCATAAGCGAAAGCACTGTTGCTAACCGTAAAAAACAAAACAAACAAAAAAAAGATATAACAAGACACACCTACTCTGAGAGAGCAAAAACACTGCCATCACCAAAAATTCATTATCATTAACAAAGGTTGATTGCCTCTGTAAACTATTAAACAAAACAGATACAACTATAAGTTGCCACAACATAAAGTAAGTAAGCTCGAGCAGATCCTCCGATGATGACGCCGGAAGATATAGCCTGTCCGGGGTCATCAGGGGGTCACAGGTGACTTTGTTGGTGTAGCTACTCGACCTGCTCATGCACAAGATGAAGACATTCAGTGCCACCAAGGACACAAAGAGTATAGATGTGGACGAGAGACACCATTCTCTCTCTCTCCCTCTCTCTCAAACTGTGATCGAATGGTAAAACTAGGCAAGATTATGTTACTGTGCTCCCTAAAATGTTTTTTTCAGAAACATATTTTAGCTCCATGTTTAGCTGTAATAGTGCAAGTTTGTGAACAGGAGGTGGGCGCTATACTGTTTCCTGCATAGTAAAAATAGAGGCAGAAAAAACTGAGATCAAACAGTAAAACTTGGCAGTGCTGATCAAATATAAACCAAAATTCTTTTACTGAGCTACCTGTTTCTCTCCTCAGATGTTACCAGAAACATATTTTAGCTTACTGTTAAATGGTACAAGATCGTTTATTACCAGCATGCCACTATTGTGTCAAGCGGATGAGTTCACATTGTGTCACCCTTCAGTGGGAGTGTGCATTGGTCCGTTGCAGTGCAGTGCATTCTAGTAGTTGTAGGTTTTCTCCCTCTTGAGCAAAAGCAAGTGCCACAGCCCTTTTCCTCTGTTTTCTCTTATGTAGCTCCAATTTTAAAAGTATTTTTGTTTCTTTCTACTGCACAGACCACTCTGTTTTATGAAAAGACCATATTTCCAGTTGGAAAATACTTCCTTAGGTTCAAAACTGTTGGTTACAAACTCACAAACAACTGGTGAACTCATTATATAATCTTTCATCAGTGTCGATTAAGTCCTCTAAATTCTGTTCATGCAGTTTTTGTTGGAAATCCAGTCGTTCATCAGTCATTATCATGTCTGATCCAGCATTGGTGAATAACCATAAACACAAGTATTTTAGAAACTGGAAGACTGTGAACGCATAGAGAAACCTCTTTAAAAATCCACTTCTCCAATTAGAATTTTTGCAAGAAATGAAGGAGCAGGGAATCCCTTCAACTTAACCAAAAATGTAAAACCCACCAAACATGGAATAAAAAGGAATGTATTTGCCAGGATTGTAAGGTCTGGTATTAAATGACTGATTGATTCTGACCGCACTGATGCGATGTCTCTGCATTTCTATGTGTAGTTGGAGGCAATCCCTGAGTCTCTGAAGAACATGCTGCTGGTGATGGACACAGCAGGCATCTTCCACAGCGCTGACTCCAGGACAGGATATTCAGACCTATGGGAAATAACCTGGGAACGAATCGTCTGCTTCCTGCCTAACCTCAGGGAGGAGCTCTTCAAACAGACTGTCATACCAGGTACACACCAGACACGCAGGGATGTAGGAATATATATTTACTTGCTTTCAAGTAAATACACATGGTGTAATGTGTGTTGTATGAAACGTGTAATATGTCAGTCCCGGATGGCGGAAGTGATGGCGCCGGTGTGTGTGGTCGTCCGTCTCCCGCTGTCAGTTGTGTTCGTGTTTGTGCTGGTTTTGTCATTTGTCACTGAAAATGTCAACTCTCTACTGGCTTATGATCGCCAAGCGCTCCTGGATATTCAGCTTGCAAGTGAAAATTTCATCAGGTTTGATCCGCGACAAAGGACGCTTCCTCCACTGCTTCTTGCGGGAGTGCCTGTCCACCTCTACACTGCTCCTCTCACCAGACGGAGGCGTCACAAAACCCGGTCCCGCGGTAAACGCAGCGGGCGACTGGTGAGGCTGAAAGCCGCTCTGGTGCTTTCTTCAGCTTCTACTCTGGCTGGATATGGATCGACCTGTCGCTACTCTGTCTCCCGTCGCTCTCTCGAGCCTACCGGCACCTGGCTGGTGCCTGTCATCGGCACGGAGTTCCATGCCCGCATCTGTTCTCCCCATCTGCGCAGTGGAGGGGTGAATCAACGCAGCCTTCGACCTCTCACCCGAGCTCCCAGGACTGATGATTGCCTTGCTGCTCCGCCTCCCGCCAGGGTGGCCCTGGTGAATGCTAGATCGCTAGCAAACAAGACGTTCATCCTGAACAACTTTTTCATCACACGTGAACTGGATTTCTTGTGTATTACGGAGACGTGGTGGAGTGCTGGTGAGTCAAGCTCCTTCTCTGAACTCTTGCCGCCCGGCTGTTTGTATTTCAGCGCTCCGCGAATGACTGGCCGGGGAGGGGAAATTGTGACCGTTTTCAAACAAAACTTTGACTGTAAACAACTGGCACCGGTCTCATTCTCCAGCTTTGAGCTGATCATGTTTGAGCTGGGTCGCTCTCGCCCTGTACTGTGCGCGGTGATATACCGACCCCCAAAATATAACAAGCACTTCATCTCTGATTTCTCAGACTTCCTGGCTGAAATAATGCCTAAATATGACCATGCTTTTAATTCTTGGTGATATGAATATACACGTGTGTTGTCCCTCCAAGCCCCCGGCTAGTGAATTCTTAAATCTCATTGGTTCATTTGATCTTGTGCAGTCTGTGACTGGTCCCACACAAGAGCACGGGCACACACTTGACATCGTCCTATCATATGGTTTACCAGTTTCCAACATTGAAGTTTGTGGTGCATTCTTTTCTGACCATATGCCTGTTTTGTTCGATGTGTCTCTCCCATGTTACACTGACAGACAAATTGCACCATATGCTTAACCCTTCCACTGCCGTTCGGTTCTCGTCTGCATTTACCAACGCCACAGTAGACCTACGAAGCCCAGCCAGCCCTGTGTGTATGAACACAGATGAGCTAACCTCTCGCTTTGACTCCACCTGCTTACAAGTCCTTGATAGTGTCGCTCCCTTAAAAACCAGACGCGCTAAACCTAAAACCGAGCCCTGATTGAAGGACAGTACATGGGAAGCCAAAAGAGAATGCAGGAGGGCTGAGCGTCAGTGGAAAAAAGACAAGCTACAGGTGTCCTTTGATATTCTGAGGGACAGCTGGCATAGTTACCAGCAAATTGTCAAGGCTGAAAAGACGAAACACTTTTCTGATATCATTTTAACTAACTGTCACAAGCCTCAGGTCTTTTTTAAAAATATTAATGATATTCTTGACGCCCCCCAGTCTGTCTGTCTGGATGCCTCCTCTGAAACATGTGAGCTCTTTCTACAATTTTTTATTGACAAAGTAGCCAACATTAGAGCTAGCATCACTACCCCGACACATGACCCCTCTACTACGGCCACCTGCCCCGCCACTTTTAGCCATTTTGAGCCTGTGTCTCTTTCCCAGCTAGAGGAAATAATTTCCCACATGAAACCCTCTGGCTCCCCCTTAGACGTCCTTCCCCCTCACCTTGTTAAAGAGACCAGCAGGGCTATAGGGCCAAATGTCCAAATAATTATGAATAACAGCCTGGCAGGAGATGTACCAGCAAATTTTAAACATGCTGTGGTGCAACCGCTGATTAAGAAGCCTAGCCTCGATGCCTCTGTCCTTTCCAATTTTAGGCCTATCTCCGAGCTCCCATTTCTTTCCAAAGTTTTGGAAAAAATTGTGCTTGTCCAACTGATGTCATTTCTGAAGACTCATGGCATTTTGGAAGTGTTCCAGTCCGGTTACAAAGCACTCCATAGTACCGAGACTGCACTCCTAAAAATTTTCAATGGCATATTTTTGGCCACGGACTCTGGTGACTCTCTCATTCTTGTGCTGTTAGACCTCTCTGCAGCTTTTGACACTGTAGATCACATTATTTTGCTTTCCCGTCTGGAGCACTGGGTTGGCATTAAAGGTTCAGCCTTGGAATTTTTCAGGTCACACCTGTCTGGGAGAAGCTTCTTTGTCAACCTAGGAGATGCTACATCCTCCACAGCATCTCTCCACTGCGGAGTGCCGCAGGGCTCAATCCTTGGGCCGATTTTGTTTATGCTATATCTGCTCCCCCTAGGATCCATTTTTAGAAAACATGGTGTCTCCTTCCACTGTTACGCGGATGACAGTCAAATCTACCTGCCTCTAAAGTGAAACCATCCTGACTCCTTAAAACCCCTGTTTACATGCCTGGAGGATGTCAAAGCATGGCTAGCTTTAAACTTTTTGAATTTTAACGACAGCAAAACTGAAGTTATGGTGTTTGGTCCCAGCAACGCACGTGTTTCCTCCTGGTGATCTAGGCCCCCTTGAACCTTTCGTGATGCCAACTGCTACCAATCTAGGGGTAAAAATCGACTCTGACCTAAAGATGGACAAACAGATAAATGATGTTGTGTGTAAGAGCTTCTACCAGCTCAGGAGGCTGTCCAAGGTTAAATCTTTTCTATCACGTTCTGTTTTTGAAACTGTAATGCATGCTTTTATGACATCTCGCCTTGACTACTGTAATGCCTTGTATGTTGGTGTTAGCCAGGCCTCCATCTCTCGCTTACAGTTGGTCCAGAACGCCGCTGCTCGTCTGCTGACTGGTACACGTAAGCAAGAGCACATTAATCCTGTACTGGCCTCCCTCCATTGGCTTCCTGTGCTATATAGGATTGACTTCAAAACTCTGCTGTTTGCTTTCAAGTGCCTTAACGGCTTGGCACCCATCTACCTCTCCGACCTGCTGGAACCCTATGCCCCAACAAGGTCCCACAGGTCCTCCAATCTCCTGGTCGTCCCTAAATCCAGGCTTAAGCTCAGGGGAAATCGGGCTTTCGCAGTGGCAGCTCCAAAACTTTGGAACGAGCTGCCTCTGCATGTTAGGCAAGCCCCCAGTCTGCAGGTGTTTAAATCACGCCTCAAGACACATTTTTATTCTTTGTCTTTTTCAAGCACAGCCTGAGTGATTGGTGTTCTTCATGTGACGCTGTGTATGTTCTATTTATGAGTTGTGATTGTGCCTTGTTACTTGTTTTTTCTTTTACTTGTAAAGCACTTTGGTCTCAGCTCTTTTGTTTTAAATGTGCTATATAAATAAATTAGTATGGTATGGTATTTCACAATATTGTACATCCTATACAAAATGATGTTGGTCTGAGAAGGTGAATGGCTTGATGTAATGCCTTGACACTGTGTGCATGTTAGTTTGTTGTAGTACCAGGAGCTTGACAGTGGTGTTTCCAAATGAATCATCTTCGTTTTTAGATCCAGTACCCAGTCCTCCAGCAGAGCCTGTGCAGCCGACACCCTCAGCAGAACAACCTTCATCCCCACACGTGTCTCAGCCGCCCTCCCCAGTCCCAGTTATCCCTGCAGATACACAGACCCCCAGCAGGCCAGCATCACCCCAGGAGCCCCACCCAGCCAGTGCTAATGGTAAAACACTGACAGTTTCCTGTTCAGCACAGTTACATCTTATTTTACACACTGTGATCAGCATTGGCATAATGTTGTGGGCTGCACATTGCTGGTACTGTGTCAGTATTCAGTATCTGTAAACGAAAGCATTTTCATGGCTGAAGTTAATATTCAGTGTTTTCCCTCAGACATGTGGTCTTTATCACTGTGGAAAAGTATTTAGAGCACAAGATCATTTCTAAAACCCTGTTAAAAACAAATATGATAACATTGGTCATTACTGCAGTTCAAGAAAGATTGATTAGTGAGAGGTACAGTTGTTTACCCACCTAACCTTCTGCTGCTCCGTCTGTGTCCAGAGTATGCTCTGCACTGTGAGAACGTGAAGCAATGAATTACCAAATGATATATAGATTCCAGCAGCACACCTAATGAACAGTCCAGCTCCAAAAATATAAAATCAAAACATGGAGGCAGATGTTTTAATTGTGGTGGGCCACCACAAATGAATGAATTTGTGGGAAGACCTGATGTGGACACCTAAGTATTTGTGTGAGGACACCTGAATGATTGTCTGGGTTTTGATGACCACTGACTGATGGTCAGTCACTTGCCTTGGGGCAAAGACCATCTGCTGTGGGTTGGTAACATTTAGAACGAGATGCTTAGTGTCACACCACTTGACATAGGTTTCTTTTTTCATCATGGTACACAGAAGTGTCCATGTCCTTGTGGAGGAGGCTCAAAATCACATTATTATCAGCAAATTTTATAATACAATTATTGATGTTTACTTTCAGCAGTCATTAGTGTACAATGTTCAGTTCATTTCAGTTTTATTTATAAAGCCCAATATCACAAATCACTATTTGCCTCAGAGGGCTTTACAGCGTACGACATCCCTCTGTCCTTCCTCGCAGCAGATAAGGAAAAACTCCCCCCCCCAAAAAAAACCTTTAATGCGGAAAAGAAAGGTAGCAACCTCAGAAAGAGCAAAATGATACATGAAGAGAAACAGAGACAGAGAGAGAAATTGAAACAGAGGGAGACCGAGAGAGGCAGAGACAGAGAGAAAAGCAGGGCAGACAGTAATGATAATAGCTTACAACAACATTAATTTTAGTAATAGTATTATAATAATAACAGTAATTGTGGTAGCATATGTTGTTAGTATATATTAACATATGATAATATATGTATGTGACAATAATAATCATATGTGTTTAATAATAGTAGAAGTATGACTAATAATAACAGCAGTAGTAGGAGGCATCAGGCAGGACCACGGCAGCAGCACAATCACGACACACGATCCAGGTGTAGCTGCAATACGAGGGAACTTGTGAGACAGTGGAGCGCAAAGGCTCTGGAGAAGAAGCCGAGTTACTGACATGCAGTAAAGCTGAGTTAGCAAGATGCAGTAATAGGACCTGAATGTTAGCAAGTGAAGAAGAACCAACTTCAGAAACAGAGGAGAGAGAGAGAGAATGAGAGAAGGGGCTTGGTGTATCATAGGAGGTCCCTGGGCAGACTAGGCCTATGTCAGCCTAACTAGGGGCTGGTGCAAGGCAAGCCTGAACCAACCATAACTATCAGCTTCATCAAAAAGGAAAGTCTTAAGTTGAATGGCTGAATTTGAAGGATGCTACGTCATAGACCCCCACTGAAGGACTGTTCCAATGTTAAGGATCCTTCCAAGTTACACAAAGGACTGAGTCCTTCTTTCAGAGCAATTCGAAGGATGTATGTGTAGATAGCTACTCTCATTCTGTCAGTTTCAATAGGTGTATTTTTGGGGGGAATCGCAATGAGAACAGCCAGAGTAGACACATAAGAATATCCTGCAGCATCAGATCCGCTATTCATATTATTGTAGCAGAGTGTGTGGTGGCGCACACTTAAAAAAATCAATCACTTTGAAATGACAGAGTGATTCTGTGTGTGTCTGTGTATCTACTGTTAATGATAATTTAGAACTATTTTAGCTGTTGTTGTCTTTACTTCATTACTTCATTCTGACAATAGTGATACATTTGTTTAAAATTGTACAACATTAGAGAGTGCCAAAATGATCACAGTAACTGAAACCCCCTCAGTCTGCTGAGGGTTAATGAAGTACACCTGGGCACACTTGCGCCTGTTTCAATGTGTGTTCACTAAAAGCTAGGGAGGACTCTAGACTTGCCTCTGCCACCGGGACCGAAACAGGAAGATGGTTCCACAGAGGAGGAGCCTGATAGCTGAAGGCTTTGGCTCATGTTCTACTTTTGGAGACTTTAGGAACCATGAGTAACTCTGCATTCTCAGAGCGCAGTGTTCTGGTGGGATCATAGGGCACTATGAGCTCTCTAAGATATGATGGAGCCTGACCATTTAGAGCTTTATAAGTTAACAGTAGGATTTTAAATTCAATTCTAGATTTTACAGTGAGCCAGTTCAGAGAAGCTAAAACAGGAGAAATATGATGTCTTTTCTTAGTTCCTGTCAGTACATGTGCCACCGTGTTCTGGATCGTCTGGAGAGTTTTTACATATTTATTAGAGCAACCTGATGATAGGGAATTACAGTAATCCAGCCTATAGGTAACAAAAGCATGGACCAATTTTTCTGCATCTTTATGGGACACGATAAGCCTAATTTTTGCAATATTATGCAGATGAAAGAACGTAGTCCATGAAGTTTGTTTTATATGGGAGTTAAAAGACAAATCCTGATCAAATATTACTCTGAGGTTTCTTACGGTAGTGCTAGAGGCCAGAGCAATGCCATCCAGACAAACTATATCATCAGATAGAGAGTTTCTGAGGTGTTTGGGGCCAAGAACAATAACTTCAGTTTTGTCTGAATTTAACATAAAGAAATTGGAGCTCATCCATGATTTTATCTCGATGAGTATAGCTGATACCACACAGCTTGTGTTGCTGTGTTTGGTCCCATCGACCCTTACTTGCTATGTCCTATTAATAAAAAAAATAATAATAATCACAGTAGTGTTAACTCATATCCTTCAGCTTCTCTAAAATCAGGTAAGGTTGCACAATATTAAATGCTGAACTAAAATCAACAAATAAAATTTGTGCATAGGCTTTGTGTTCTCAAGCTACTTAGATATAAAGTATGAAATGCTGCCCAGTGCTGCCCTCATACTTGTAGAAAAACTGATGTGTATCTAACACAGGCTTGACTGTTCTCTTTAGCAGGGACACTACAAAGATCTGTAGACATTTCATGACAGTTAAGGTCAAACTTACAGCGTGGATATTATTATTTTCTGTGGCACAGGGCTTTTTAGGCACTGGTGTTATGATTGACTTTTTCTACAAAGCTGGGACAGTGTGTGTCTAAGGACTTTTGGAATATAGGACACCATGCTGATGTCAATTCAAAATATAGAATACTGACATAAATGGAAACAAAGCAAACCCTGCTTTACAGTTGTATACTAATGCCATGTTTAATTATAAAACTGAGTTGTGGAATAGTTACTCAGAAGTACTGATAATTTCTGTTTTTGTTTTCTAGGATCAGACCGGTCGTCTCCAGTCCCACCTTCAGTTCCCCCCATGCCAGTGCCGTTAACAACGTCCTCTGCCCAGGCTCCTTCACCTTTGACCCAGTCCCCCCTAATCCTGCAACCCCTTGCCTCCCCCTTGCAGGTGGGAGTCCCACCCATGTCCCTGCCAATCATCCTAAATCCTGCCCTCATTGAGGCCACGTCCCCTGTACCACTGCTTCCTGGTCCCAGACCTACGAGCCCTTCTGATGAGGTCAAGTAAGAGATCTCAAGCTACCATACACCCCGACTCTTTCATCTTTCCAGACCACCTCCCCTTTTAACAACTGGATCCAATAGACTTCAATTACAACTACAGTAGTTTGTCACACCTCAGTTTTACCACATTTCATTTACAGGAGAAATGGCCCTAAACATTGGACATTGTTTTAAAAAAAACAAAGCAAGAAAAACACCAATTGCTGGTGCACATTGCATTCTTTGTGCTATTTTTGTGTTGGTATGTTCTTCTTCCTGTGGACAGATGACTAAATGGAGACAATGGGACATCACGTCTGGATATTCAGAGACAGAAAATGCAGGATGAAAGTCATATTGGAAAAAATATTAAAAGTAAAAATCTAATTGAAGTAAAGTGGGTTCGCCAAGGATCCTCCCAATGTAGCCTACAACCGTGGCTACAGCTACCACTGAGAAGACTGAGGTCCTGTCTTCGCTATTTTGGGGGAGAATTTTGGTGTTTTGGCAACCTGGGAGGGGTCTATGTTGTACTATACACGGTGAGCATTTTATTGGCTCATTCCATTATTTTTAAACTTAGTGGATTATATGTATGATAGACCAAAACAATAAAATAAAAACTTTGACTCAGTATTTCTCCACCACACATTTATTCTTGGGAGTGTAAGGAGGACTTTAAAGGAAAAGGCAGGTCTTAACTGTCTCATATAAAGACCCAAAGCTAACAATGTGTTTGTCTATCTGTCAGTGCTTTCTGACTTCTGTGGTTCTCAGCTCCAAGCCCATTGGTTCCTGCTGAAGATTTATATATACAAATATATAGTTTGATTATGAAAAAGTAGTAAGTCAGTTATTTCCAAAAACAGCTGATCATTGTACTTTTCAACAAATGTTAATCAAACAGGAGGAAATTGTGAATTTGTTTGGGACGGTTTCAGCCGCAGATTAATCCACACTTGGTGCTCTAGTATTTGGACATTTGTTTGTAGTAAGTAAGAAAGAAAGAAAGAAAACAAGGGTGTTTGCGCTCTTATTACAAGTCCAAAGAAAAACTCACATCAGGTGCGTAGGCAAAAAAATATCAAGAAGAAAGCAGGAAAAGCTCACACACTGATCAGAAAAATGGATTGTCCACTCCAGAGGTTGATGGATGTTGAGGTAGCATGTTTAATGGTCCATCAAAAATATATACAAAAATATATAACAAGTGCTACCATAGTGTGAAAAACAAAGAGAAACAAAAGAAAACTGACCAGAAACGTTTCTGAGGATGGCTGTGTAGCCGAAACCAGAGGACAATGGATTGTCCTCTGGAGTGGACAGTCCATTTTTTTGATCAGTGTGCGAGCTTTTCCTGCTTTGTTTCTGTAGTAAGAAAACCATAATATATCACCAGCTTTAGTGGACATGGTCTCGTGACTTCAGTATTTCTGCTCCGCCAATGACTGTGATTTTATCACTTTCTCCTAAAAATTCTCCTAAAAACAGTTTCCATATGTGAGTTGTTCCTAATATCGGGTATATGTGGTAATCAGCTGTTCAGTCCAAAACACATTGGACATGATTAAAATAGTGGTATTAAAGATTGGAATATCAAAAGTTAGGTTTAGTCTGGAGTTAGCACTGTCACTCCCATTTCTCTAGATCCCTCCCCCCACCACCCCTTGATTTCAACTTGATAAGACCAGGCTGACCTCATGGCTTCACTCGCACACCTGTGTTTCATTTGAATTTAAAGATTTCAGGCAGGGAAGATAAAGATCCACAGACGTTAAGTTATTTGGTTTTAGAAACTGCATGTTGTTGATTAAATAGGATTTTCAGTGCTTTGACTGCAGACAGATGTTCCAGAGGTCTTAACAGAGCTGTTATATCAACCACTGCCAAATTCAACTCTGTTTTCCTGAAACAGCCAAAGATGGAGACACTGGCCTCTTCTGTTTATTTCCTTTCAATTCTGCATGAGCTCTTTGTCCCCATCAAGAAAATAGCAAGCTTTCATTTCAGGCACCTTATGAATTCCTGTTCCACTAAACAAAGAAGGGCTGTGTGCACAAGACGCCTTCTCAGATGGACTGGGGATGTCACATCTACAACATTCCAAAATGTAGATACTTGAGTGTGCAGTGAGCTCAGTCCACTGTATGGAGGGTTAGAGATGAAGAAGACTGGGTTATTTTAGCCTGGTAAGACCATCCTTATGATGTGAGCTCAACATTCTGTTTCTCTTTCTGTATCAGTCTGGACTCGCTGCCACCCCAAACACTTTCCAGAAATTAAAATCCAATCAGGGATCCGCACTTAAGTTGACAACGTAAGCAGCCAATCAGGAACTGCATTGTAGCTGATAATGTGAAATTCAAGCCACAGCTTGCAGAACAGTAATGGAGGGAAGCAACAAGCGCTAACCTGCTTACTCTGCTAACTAGCAGAATAGGCACAGCAATTAGTAAAGTAATTGCAGAAATAGTCAATAACAGCAATGAAATAAGAACAAGAGTATGCACTCACTGAGTTTCTTGGTAGAAAAGACATTTTTTCCATTCTTGATTTTTTTCAAAAGCTTGATTTATCAAATGACTCCATTGGTGATGAAGAAGATGTTCCCCAGTGTTTTGTCATAATGATTGGTTGAAAGACTTTGTCGGTCAAGATGAGTACTCCCGCCCACTGAAAATGTTTGGGGCGAAACAGAATGTTGAGCTCATGATGAGCTCATGTCATCAGGATGGTCTTACCAGAATAGGGATATTCATCATATCACAAGGAAATCTATGGAAGCTAATAATAGCAGTAACTTCAAATTATTGAATACTTACTAGTGAATTTATTTTACTTTGACGAGCACTCATCTCCATTTATGGAGTTTTTATATCTCTGCAGGTTATTTGAAGTGATATGGTTTGAAAAACTTCAATCACTATCTTAACTCATCCACATTAAAAAAAATATACATAGCAGAGCATGTACTTACCTCAATAGAGCTCATAGGTCAAAATAATACAATAAAATGTTAAAATACTATAATGTATTAAGTGCACAGTAACAAATTCAGTTTGAAATTGAAAGTCTTCAGTAATCCAAACACTGCAGCAGGGCATTACCTGTTGGAGGTGAGCTGTTTGCCAAGGTGCAGTAAGAGCCTTTTGTCTGCAGCTCTTCATCTTACATCTCACTGTGGTGGTTTCTGCTTGTATTCCTCCTCCCTGCAGTATCAGTAGACTTGTTTTTATCGGGAAAGAAAAGCCACTAACAAAGTTCAGCTAATTCAGTGATAACCACATGTCATTTCCTATAGATTTTTCATAATAAAAAAGTCCCCTGTTATCTTGTTATGTAAAAGCTGTTATTATGAAGCAGCAAAATAAGGAAATGTTGAGTTTTCATCAGCAATAACATGACAAACTCCTGTACAGCTGAAAGTGAACACGAAACAGAAAAAAAGTTGAACACATAGACACTTTTAAAAATGCCTTTCTTTCTGATCTCCTGCACAGACAGCCGTGAGATGAGTCTCACAACACACACACACTTGTTTCAGGGAGAGAAGGGAGGTCGTCAGGGGTTGGCTGCAGTCGGCAAGACATCACCGCAGCCTGCTTGGAGGCGGTTGTCTGCAGTTATGGCCCTACTCCAGAGATAGTCCATCTCTGGCGCAGCTCAGCACGTCTTAACTGGTAATGGAAAGACAAATCTGCGCTTCATGGTTTGACTTGGCTCAGCCAAAACTGGTAATGGAATAAGGATATTGATGTGTCCAGGACTGTATTTTGCCATATTGACAAAAACACACACACACACACACACACACACACACACTCAGAAGGTGAAAACAATCCCAGTCCTGCTGAGGTAGCTGGTAAAAATTCAGACCGGTATATCTGGTATTTTAGGCAGATTCAAGAGATCAGATGACTGCCAGTGTGAACAGACAGACAGAGGTCTGATTGACTTTATTCAGGCTCATTGGGTCTCATTCATGAAACGTGAGCAGAAGGAATTTGTGTGTAAACTTTTCGCAGATGGAAATTTACGTGCATGTCCGCATTCATCAATATTTTAGTAGCTCCGATCTTTTCGTACCTACTAACAAAATCTACTCCTGCTCCTGACCACTCGTAGTGCTTGTGTAAATTTAGTAAAGCACATAAATATTGCTTTTCACTATTGGAAATTACAATTTTAATTCATATCGCGCTCTGTTATGTAGGCTACATAATACACAGATGCCTTTGAAACACGTAATCTAAACATGACAAAAAATATTAAAAATATAACATTTAGTTAAATTAGTTGGTAATTAGCAGGTTTAAGATCCAGATTAGGTTCATGATTGTGAATTATCTATGTAAATCGACTCAATAGATTACACGTTCTTTCTACATGTTGAATGATGATAATAAAAATATCCGTAAGGACAGCTGGATCACAGCCTCTTCGGCCTCAGTGCCTGGGTTCAGCAGGGGCAGCAGGAGCAGCAGGTGGTGGAGCCACGAAGGAGCACGCGCCAGCTGAAATAATTATTTGAGACAACACGTTTTTTTTTTTGTTGCTTTTTTGTGGCTTTTTGATCATTTCAATGAATAAATCTGATTTGAAAAATGTTTAATTTACGTTGTATAAAACAGAGCTTTAGGCTATTAAGATTCAAATAATTTGAAGACGATGCATACAAAACATGCTGTAGGCTCACGTCCCTTGCGGAGATCAGCGGGGGGAGCAGCTAGCACACCTAATGGCTGACGGTGCCCCAGGCTAATGTCCAAGAACACAAAATTGAAGCTACAAAATATCTCCAACATGCTCATCCGTAGTGATCCAAGTGTCCTGAAGCCCCGACATAAAAAGTTGTTACGAAAAACATCATTTGAACTCTGTTTTTAGCCTCACTGTAGCCTGTAGCTCTGACTGCTTCTCTGTGCTCGCACTCACGTGTGCGCGCTCAGGGTGATCGGTGATGCACGGTCTCTGAAGAGCAGCAGTGTCGTCAGTACTGATGTCCAGATTCTCAAGTGCAGGCATCGCCAATTCCCAGTCTGAGCAGCAAAGACTTTCCTCATCCGTTGGCATTGCTTTGCATTTGAAACAACTACACCACCAGGTTTCCAGTGCTCGACTTTGGTATTCTGCGGCTGGCTGAGGGTTAGGCTCATGAGCTGCAGCGGCTGCTTCGTCCAGTAGCCTGAGTTCCACGTCTGTATACTCGGGCTCAAACAAATACGACTCAACAAAGAAATGCTGTTCCTCCTCAGTTTCAAAGTCCTCAGACATGTTGGGCTGTCCTTTGCTAAAAGACCGTAGTGCAAATTATCTTTTAGCTACTGTGGTTACTGTTGTCTCCCCCTGCGGTGCACGTGTCACGTGATGTAAACATGGGTAAGCAAAGCTCATGCTTTCGCTGGTCTCATGCAAGTGCACACACATGAACGCGGAGCACAGAGAAGCAGTCACAACTACAGGCTACAGTGAGGCTAAAAACAGAGTTCATATGACGTTTTTCGAAACAACTTTTTAACCAAAAATATGAAAATAAAAAGTGCAGCTGAAATGCTTAGTCTATTGGTTTAAAAATTAATTGGCAACTATTTTGATAATCATTTACATTATTTTTCATACAAAAACACATAATGGTTCCAACATGTCAAATTTGAGGACTTGCTGCCATATATAGTGCTTTGGGGGCATTATCTATGCTAATAGGTTACTCATGATCAAGTGGGATTCATCATT